CGAAAAACGCCGCCGGAAATCGATTCTTCTGGAATTACTTTCTTCTTCCTTCTTCAACGTCGGCATTTTTCTGCTTGTGAGATAATTATATCACCGATGCCGGTGAGCACACAACCCCCAACCGGGAATTTTTCCGAATCCTCTGGTGGACCACCAGCTCAATGTCTTCTCTGAAGGACTGCATTCAATACCATATTTTTCAAGTTGCTCTCGAATAATTCGAAAATCACGACCTCTAGCAAAAAAATATAAGAAAACAATTAAACAATATGAAATTTCCTATAAGAAATATTCCATTTATTATCCGTCTACAATGAATGAGTTTATGAGATACGGATGACGAAACAATCGGGAATTATCAAACATAGTGTTTAGTGGTATGAAATCCATGTTCCAGGTCTCATATCATGAAAAAAGTGTTCAACGTAAATCGAGACGTGAATAGTACGTATGGGCTTCCCATCAAATGATGGCAGTGAGTTGTCAACCTGGAGAGATTACCTATGTAATGAGTAATTGTCAGTTATTAATAATAAGGTAATACATTTTGATTTGTATTTTTTCTTGGGGAAGGGCTGTGTAGTCACATTTTGTAACCCTCAGTATTGAAGTATTGATTTCATATATCATCATGGCAACTTGTGAGGAAAGACTGTAAAGTGTTCAATTTGTGAGGATGAGAATTGTTTAATTTGTGGGTCTGATGGTGTCAGTCATTTTTTATGTAACGTTTCTACATGAAGAAAAGTGAAAGGGAGCCGACTTTTTCTACGATGTTCCGATGATGTCAGAGATTCAGTGAGTCTGGCATCACCTACCCGGCGAATGGCTCTTCTCTATATTGAATCTTAGGACATCAGCGTATGTTATGTATTTGTATCCTTGTTAAACAGGCAACCGAATCTGTGTTCATAGGACCAGAACCATACTTTGGTGTCCCCGCAAGTGTGGCCAAAACAACTATCTCGGACTGGGCGGAGGGAATAAGACTCACGCACTGTTTTGAATTACCAGAATCAACCCATTCGAAGGCGTTCCTGCCTAAACCAACGGAAGAAAAGACCAGGCAGATCCTAGAATGGAGCATGGGTAAACTAGGAAGGATGGATCTGAACCAACAAGTGCGCTGTCGGTTCTGCTGTGTGAAAGACGATACTATGTTCAAGCTCTTGCTCAAAGAGTCGCAGGTTCGACATATTCGTCTCTATCAATTTAGAGCCAATCGATTTTAGACAAATTACACTTCATTCAACCATGGGCTTTGTAAAGTTTCTATGTATGTTCCTTGACAAGTTTCTGAACTGTAATGTCCACTGTCAACACTCAACTTCCAAGCTTGATTCCCCAAAGTTTCTTTCTATGAATTTGCGCTTGGTTTCGAATAGAACTCAACTGCTGAATATTTATTACTATCAAGTAGAGTCAAGACTTAGGAATGGTGTGTGTTTTTGGGGTATTTCAAGATGTACTCATTGTCCAAAAACGCATATTGCGATGTATTGCAAAGGTCTCGGCCAGAGAATCATGTAAACCACTCTTTAAAGATTTTAATGTGTTAACGTTAGTATCTATTCTATATATATATGTCAAAAATAGGTTTGTATATATATAATAATAGGTCACTTTTTGGAGTGATTGAAAATGTCCGTCCCTATCAGAAATCAATTTCATGTACCATGTGCTACACTAAGAGTAACCTCCAGTTCACCTGAGCACATCGGAAGAAGAATTTTCGATAAACTACCTGACCACATAAGAAATGCAGAGCATCTTGCTCTTTTCAAAAAGACTCTCAACAGTTTTTGGTTGCAAAAATGTTTTTATTAGTGGACAGAATTTTCAGACCAGATAAAGCTCTTGTTCTTTGAATCGTCTTCTACATTTTCTGTATTTTTTTCTCCTTTTCATGTTCTGACAATTTCCTATACAATTTGTAATATTGTCTTAGTGGAAAATGAGGTATTATTATTATAAAGAGAAGTGGATTGTACAGTGAACTGTAACCTCTAGGAGTGAGCCACAATAGACCCATCTGGGGTCGTAGTGGAGAGGCAGGATTCGCCCTACTCACATGGAACCTTGCCCAACCTAACCTATGTATTCGAGGTAGGTGGAAAATCCTACGGTTCCAAGGACATTCTACGAGAAGCAGCATATTGGCGTTGACTCAATAAAAAAAAATGAGAGGAGCCCATTCAGAGCAACAGCCTTTAACGTCACAGCATTCCCTATACGTTCACGTTTAGCTGAATGCAGAAATCGAGGGGAGGATGAATTGCTCATCCCACCAAAAATCAAAAACAGAAAAGCACCTGAAACGATAATAAATAGCATCTTTTGACGATGTTTTATTGGATGTGGGCAAGATGTGCCAGACGAAGTGGATGCCGAAAGATGCCGAAATGCTGGAATTCCATGCTTCATGGTGTGCGCCATGTGCCCTGTTAGATACGTGTGTGAATGGTGCACCGTTGCTGATTATGAAAAATGTGAATGAAGATGATGATTAATCGTTAATTATCGAAACGTATATTTTCAATATGTCATTTCTCAATGAGTAATGTATTTATTTTGTTCATATCCACGAGAAACACCATTTTCATGATATGAGACATTGAACATGAATTTGAAACTATATAGCTCTGATTTTGAAACTTCTCGATGTTTTCATCCCCTGTATCTCAGAAAATATCCATTGTGGACGAACAATGGATAGACACTATTTGATGGCATGTTTTTCAATTTTGTATATTCACATTTTCGAATTATTCGAAAACAACTGAAGAAATTACCACCAAATGTTCCCCTACCGCCTGCTGATCACCTACCGCCTTGCTCATCCCTTACGGGTCAGGATTTTTAGTATGTTGTTTATGGCACTATTCTTCCTACCTCTCATATTTTTTATTCATTTACTTGACTGAAGGAGTTACTGCGTTCGACACTGCTCCACTTCAGATAGATAATTGATATAATTAATGCAATGAATATTTTATATGGAGAACACTAGCTACGACTACTTGAATGTGTCCTTGAAACAAATTGGCCTCTCTGAGTTCATCAGGGGTGGACCTCATTTACCTTACAGGCTAACATTTTTAACATCCCGGAAGATAAAGGCAACAAAATAATTTGGGTAGCTCGAACCTGGAACTACTAAAACATACTCTTGTTTATTGTCGACACAATTAACTTCTTCTGAGGAAAATATTAATACTGTAATTTGCGGAGCCCATGGTGAACACTCTCATTGAGTATAATTAATTGTGATGAATTTTTATGAAGAATCGAAAATTGATTTGTTCATCATAGTTCTCCTTATAAACGGTTCATTTTACCAACAATGAACAAGAGTAACCACCTTTTTAGAGGTACCCATATTAAATTTCAGGCCGTTATCATACGGATTGTTGAATATTTGAGCCTAAAAGATTAAACTCAGTCCACCGCTGATGAACTAAGAGAGAGAGGCAAATATGTTTTAAGGACCCAATTCCAAGAAGACATCAAATTTTTATTCATTAACATCGAGAACTTAGAAATTTATTCCACTGAAACCGACTTCCAGCAGCGTCCTTTATACTTTATAGCGGCCCATGTCTCCCGGAGGAGTTACTGTACATTGAACATTTTCATAGGAACTGGTCATGTCATTTTTTCAGGTTCAATCTGAATCCAAGAGAGTTCCCATATTTTCCCGGAGACCCTGTATATTCATAATGAAATCTAAATTGGGCGGTCTCATCATACAATTCAATTTCAAAATAACCGAAAAGTCAATTATGATAAGATAAGCATGTCGCAATTCATTAATCATTGAACAATAAACAAATCAGATCTCTCAGATTCTTAGATTTGTTATTAAACACATAAACCACTTGCCAAATATGACCTTGTTTCATGAGAATATAAAGGTATGAGTAGGCACCTATCATAAAGATTACACGAACGAATGTGAAATAATTGTTTCTCAATATCTAAGGGATTTGTATTTCGTTAATGAATACAT